AAGATGCGATCCCACTGTCTGTCTAACCGCCCGCTCGCCACCGCCGTCGCCTCAGATTTATAAGTACATTTATTTATTGGCGGCGGATTTGTGGGACGACAGCCCTGACCACGTGCCAACCTTGACACCAGCAGAAGAACCGATTGATGAACCGAATGTCAACATTATCTTATCCCTCGTTAATTCATCACCGGTGGATAAAAAGTATGTGCACGATGCATTTGAAAATGATGTATGTGTGTGTGTGTGCTTGTGCTGCTCGTGGTGCTCCCTTCTAATTATAGACTTTTCGAAAATATTCTAAAGACGCGCGTCCGTATTTCGAGCGGCGGCCGCGGGGGCGGCCTTGACCCGCTGCACCCTCTCTGCAACAGATCGTATCGATCCACCTCCACCTCGACCTAGACCACCCCCAACGACAACAACAACATCATCATCAGACCATTGCAACCTGTTGCATCACACTGCCTTCTACCCCAATTCACATCAGTGACCTATATTTTTGAAAGGGCGCTTCATTTATATTCGGGATGCACGCACGTCGATCTTTATTCGTCGACGATGATGATTATGATGAAGATGTGGACCTGTCGACAACTACCTGAATTTACAATAATAACCACTAATAGCACTAATTGATTGCTCACGATTCGGCGATAAATTATTATGCGTGCATTTCAACTATATAATACCTCGCTTATTTCTCGTCGCTCCATCACAAACAACCTTCTTTTTCTCACTTTCACGCTTCTTCTAAAAATTAAAAACTAAATTAATAATTAACTAAACTATAAATGATTACAATCGTAATTGCAAGAGCAATTTATTCACACACAGAGAAGATGTGATTTTGGTTGTGAAATGTATTCGAAAATCACTCCACATCATCATCGTATTATCTAGAGTTAATGTAAATATTTGAGCGACGATGCGCTCTCGTTTTGTTCTTACGTCGGGACGTTTTCTGCTGCTGCTGCTGCTGGTGGTTTGGAATGTGGCGTAAAAGGATGGTTGAAACGAGAAAAGAGGAGGCCTCTTTCTTATTTAATTTCTCGCGGGAATAAATTAGAGCCGAGCTAAGGTGCGTGTGTAAATAATAATTTAGTTATCGAGAAGAGTGAGAAAGAGAGGAGAAGGAAGAGGAGGAAGGATGTAGTCGGCCAGCTAGCTGCGAAGAGTGGCGAGAGGTGTGTGTTGTAAGATTGAATGTGTGTGTGTATGAGTGAGTGAGAGAGAGAAAGAGAGATCATATCTCTTTGCCTTAAATTAAAACCCGTTGCCGAGTTAGCAAGTGCTCGGTATGTAAATATGGGTATCTTATGTGCCCCATAAACGTAGCGACAGGTCATTAATTGGCACAGGGTGCAGTGGAATATGTAAACTGCCGCCACCGCCGCAGCCACCTAGATCACACATCCTTTTCTTATATTTTAGTCTATTTTCAATTCGCTTTCCTCTCTCTCTCTATATTCACATAAACTAATGCTAGTGCATTTTAGAAATAGAGACTCACTTTTTTCGTGTGTCGTCCGGACACACCGGTAATGTGTTAAAAAGGTACAGTGTTGATGAATTGTGGTCGTGGAAAAGGGAGAGAGAGGCCCATTTCTTACATACATATACACATATATAGATAGATAGTAATGAAGAGAGTGTGCGAGAAGGATCGGGTCGTTTGGACTCGAGACACACACACACCACACCTTGGTTCATGTTTCAATAAATATATGCATCTTATCTACGATATGTCACCGGTACGCCCACGCACCAATCGAACTCGTCGTTGCATACGGACAACACCGCACGGCGGCTGCGGCCGCTCTTCTCACACCAAGAGCTGAAAGAGAAGCAAAAGGAGGACAACAAAATTTTCCTCTTTTATTCTAGACAAGAAAAAGAGAAAAGGGAAAAACCGTCGACCTTAGTAGTAGCCTCAGTCAAAAAATTCGCTACGACAGAGAATAAATTCACCGGCGCATCCATTAAAAATCGCGCGATGCTCGTCTTCTCTCGCATCGGTGGCAAGCAGCAGCAAGTAACAACAGCATCAGCAAAGGCCGCAGCAGATTCGCCATTAAAAAGCGGGTTTCCAATGAATAATTAGCCGGTGATTAATTGGAATAGTGCCGATGCGAAATCCTTGACCGCGGCATCAATAAACATGTCATAAGCGCTAACTAATAGTCATTTAATTAAAACGCGTTTCAATTTAAATGGAATTAATAAAGCGAACCGGCAAACGAATCTTTTACTTGTATTTTCCTTTCCAATTACTACTACTTCTCCTCCTCCTCCATCTCCTCATCCGTATATTATCTATGCGATTGAATTAAAGAAAGCAACGATAGGAAGGGAAGTTTGATTTTGTGCGTGAAATGTGTACGGAATTGAAACGTTTCTCGGCGGCAAGTCCACATTTTCCGGTTGATCGGTATCGGCGGCGGCGGCGATGGCGATGACGACGACTGCAGCAGCAGCAGCTTATATTTATGTAGATGGCGGCGTTATCTATCTGCCTTCCATATACACGCGTATAATTCACGAAGATTTATCGTGCGCATAAAAAAATATAAGGTATCTAAAGAGCTCTGCTGCTGCCTATTTTAACCATTTTAGTTGGCTAAGCGGTGCCCATATCTGGTCAACGAAACGGCCGACTTCTGCGAATACTTTCCACCCGAGTATGTGTCTATCCTATCTATCGTATCTGAACCGTCGTCATCGTCGTCTCCGTCTCCTTTTGTTATTGTTGTTGTTGCTGTTAGTAGACTATTATTGTACCTTTCCTCCACAGCACACAGTACAGCACAGACACAGACACGACCGGTAGCGTGCATCCATCTATCTACAAAATGTTTATAATTCTTGTATAATTATCGTCGACCGTAATTGTCGGCCGCTAATGTCCCCATCTTACTCGTCTCATTTCGACTTATTTAGGCGCGCAAGTGCGCTTTACCGTACCCACGGGCTTTAATGATGATTGGACAGGTATTTTTATCGACTACTAATCAGATTTATTTTTATAAGAAACATCAACACCATTTTTTCCTCCTCCTCCTCCTCTTCCTCTTCCTCATCATCTTCATCGTCCAGCAGTAGCAACAGCAGCTCGATCATTCTCATCGAGTCTCCTCATCGCATCTATTACGACGTAGTAATTAGTTTAATTGCGAAACTCGGGGTGGTTGATTTTTGCTTTCGGTTTTAAATTGTTGATGGCACGAAGACAGCCACAGCCACCGTTGCAGGTGCTCCTGCTGCCGATGAGGCTGAAACTACTGCCGCTTCTGCTGCTGCTGCCGCTGCTGCTACTAAGTAAACTCTCGGACCTCTATAATTACCGTAGGGGAATAACGAGCAGGCGAGCAATTTGCGCGCAACGAAGGCAGGAGAAGCCTCCGAAAAAAAGCATCCAATTTCTGCGAATTCTAACAATGGACATTAATACCGCACGACCACATCCAGCTAATGAGAACGAGTGCTATTGGTTTAATGATGAGCACCTCAAGTAAATATCAATAAACTGTATGCAACAACAACAACCAAAACACACACACACAGCCGGTTTTCGAATTGGAATGAATTTAATTTTGAGCTGCAACGCCACTAATCGATTCGATAAGAGTAATTGCGAGTTTATTACACACACACACATACACGTATTGGGTAGACGGAGAGAGGCTGGAGATAATTACGATCTCTCCACTTGCCGCCGTCGTTTTCGTCTTCTTATTCTTCTACCTACTACACCCACCGGTCAGTGCCGGATCGAGACGTAATTGCCTCAGTACCATCGCTTCCCATCCCGTGCATCTACAACATCAGAGCTCCTCGACAGAGATAATAATGCGTGCTGTTTCTGCTATACACATGCATATACATACACTACCTACCACCTATACCTCTATATGAAGAACCATGCAACCAACTCACACATGCATATCCTCGGGAAACAGTAATTAAATCGTTACCATGTAATTACAGTTTGCTGCTGCTGCTGCTGCCGCCGCAATCGCTCGTATTACTCATACACTGACTGAGCTCTTTTAGGTGAACCCACATTTCGAAAAATTATGATCACTCTTTAATCGAAATCCATAATAAAAGTATTTATTGTTAATCATCTACAACATATTTAAACATTTTAATCATTACTCTTCAAAATAGATTCCAGTGGTTTCGAAACGTAACGTTCCGATGTAAAGTGGATTTATAACTAAAACATGCGTACGACATTAAAGCCTATCGCGGTCTATCTGCTACCGTCGTATCGTAGCTTAATATGCTGTGTTACCATTTGTAGAACCAAATGATCTTTCCTTAAAATGCTCCTTACAGCAACGTGAGTTGTAACTAAGTAACTTGTCAAGTATCGTGTTGCATGTACAATTTACTACTGGAATTACTTTATATATATGATAAGACGTAACGGGTGGAGGGTGGTAGAGGTCGGTCGGTCGGCAGAGTACAGCGCGTATTGCGGATGGTCCTAAATTATTGGCATCCGCAGTATTATAAAATGCGGCCAACCAGCCAGTAAACCCCATAATAAAACTGGCGTCGGTCCGGATCCCTGCGGCAATGCGATTCTGCACCGCCCCCGCCGCAATGCGCACCGCCAACAAAACATCATTCCAATTTCTTCTTTTTTCGATTATTATTGTCATAATAATAATTATTATTATTATTATTGTCGCGTAAATGGTGTGTGTGAGGGCCATTCATATTTCATAACGAGGTCACTTGGATCAGGTGTATTCGCGTTTTTTGTGGACCCGCGGGGCTTTGACTCCTATACACACACATTCATACGCACACTCGGCGTGAGAGAGGAAGGAGTGGCGAGCGGTTCTTTCTTGTATTTTTTTTTGCTCATGTTTTCTCATGCCATTCCATTCCGAGAAATCTCTTATATTTATATATATATTTGTGTATGTGTTATGCGTATTTATGATATTGGGTTATTAACGTTTTTGGTTTTTCTTTTCGTTTTGCAGATCGAGGAGATAGACGGTGTGGTGCGTTGAAGAAGAAGAAGAAGGTGGTGAACCGACGGAAGGGTCCGCGGCCCTCAGCCGCCACGCGCTAATGACGATGGCCGAGAGTGCGGTCGAACCTTCTTCTGGCAACGAGAACAACAATCATCACCTGTTTGCAAACCACAACCGACCAGCGGGGAAGCAGAGGAAGCGCAAGCGTCTTAGTCAAGTGCTGGACAAGCTGACGGGGGTCGCCGCTGCTGCACCACCACTACCGACCCTCTCACACAACATCCACAACAGCATCAACAATAATAATAATAATAACAACATAGTGGCACCGCAACACATCATCATCAACAAGATCAGCAGCTGCAGCAGTAGCAACATCAGCATCAACAACAACAACAACGATAACAAGGAAGAGGATGGACGCGCCCTGAAGACGCCTAAACACATGTCGGAGGTGTTCCAGTACGAAAAGGATCGCTACCAGCAGCAAAGCGAGGAGGACGAAGATGTGTTCAGTCCGGCGAGCAGCGGAAAATCTCCGCACAGCTCGAGCGATTCGCCGAGGATAAGTTTTAGTCCGTTGAGGCTGAAGGAGGACGAGGCGAGTTCAAGTCCGCCGCTGCCGAAACCGTGCCTCTGTTATCACTGCGTCACCGGGGTCGGACACCATCCTCCGTCGGTGCACCCATACGACAGATTCTTCCCCGCCAGTCCCATTTCGCCGCTGACGCCATCCTCGACGGCGCCTCCACCGTACAGCTTCGAACGTTACCTCCACTCCAAGTACCTGCCCGACATCTTTCGCCGGAGGAGTCATTCCGATTCAGATCTGCCGCTCTGGTTCGAGAACAATAACAACAATCATGGAGGTGGTGTTGGTAGCAGCAAGGTTAAGGTGCCATTGGTCGCGTGGCCACATCCCTTGGGAGGTATCTCGTCGGGGAAGATAGATCCGGACGCACTACCTAGCCAAGAGTCGCCGCTGGACCTCTCGATGAAAGGACGTCGACGAGGTGCTGGGACAGGAAGTGGTGGAGGAGCAGGAAGCGGCGGCGGCGGAGGCGGTGGCAACAACAGCAACATGCTCGTAATGGGAGGGTTGCCACCTCTTCAGCTGCTGCCGCACGGCTTCGTTCCGCCTCGCGGCGTCAGCGTGCCCGTCGTCAAGGGAGATGTCGCCTCACCAACGACGAAGGAATCTGTAGCATCTCGCTACAATCTGGAGGTATCTCCGGTCGTCGAGGAGATGCCACCCGGTTCGGACGTGGCCTACGTATGTCCTGTGTGCGGGCAAATGTTCAGCTTGCACGATCGCCTCGCGAAGCACATGGCCTCGCGCCACAAGAGCCGTCAGAACGCTGGGGACTCCACGGCCAAGGCCTACCTCTGCGAGGTGTGCAAGAGATCATTCGCTCGCAGCGACATGCTCACTAGGCACATGAGGCTGCACACGGGCGTCAAACCGTACACGTGTCGCGTTTGCGGTCAGGTCTTCTCCAGGTCCGATCATCTGTCCACACATCAGCGTACCCACACCGGTGAGAAACCCTACAAATGTCCGCAGTGCCCTTACGCCGCCTGTCGTCGCGACATGATCACCAGGCACATGAGGACGCACGCTAGGTATGAACCAGACCATCACAACACGCCCACCATCAAAACGGAACAGCAGCAACACAACTGATCATCATCATCATCATCATAAACATCAACATCATCGTAATTAATCATCGATGTATACAAGAATTTGCGATTTGAACAAAAGACTCTATACACATACAACACACACACACGCACATCTCACGCAAACGCAAAGATCTCATATCATTCCAGCGGTCAAGAAATCGCGAACATGTGCCAAAAAACAAAAACATATGAAACGAATCTCTCCAAGTTAAATTACATTAACAACAACTGATCGCAAATCACATCCACCAAACAGAATACACATACACAAACAGAAAGATATTTACATTGAAAAATCTAGTTTTTGACAATATATACAATGAATCTGCGATGAAATTTGGATGCATCTCGAAAATGGATCTACTACGTAACATAAACACACACACACATTCACAAGAAAAAACGTAAGCGAACAAATCTGAATGTAATAATTATTAAATGACACGATGCTGTGATATTTTAAGAAAGAATTTAAACGAAGGAAAAATACGTTTTATTATTATTATTATAACTTATTATTAATATGTTTTAATTGAATTGTTTTTTTTTGTTGAATCACGCGCTCTCTCTCTCTCTCTTATATACATACATACGTTATATGTTATGATGTATAAATCTTTCTACTTCCGCCAGTTATTACTTATTTTGTTTATTTTTAAATTTGCCAACATTACACTGTACATATAAATTAATTATTACGTTATTTGTTTCCCAATGTATATAGTAGTACTATACATTATTTTCCGACACGTGCCACCACAGAACGATATTAGTTTCTCCTCTCCATCTTTTTACATATATTTTGCGTTCTCATTATTAATTTATACAATGTGTTAAGTTTAAGTTTAGGTTTTTTTTTCTTTTCCACCCACCCCCAATTTTATTATTATTATTATTACTATTATTGATATCATTATGATTTAAAAGCGAATTGCGGATCCATACAATGCACGAACTCTGCTCGCAACGTCTACGTGTTTTGTTACTATTTAAAGTGAATGCCGCCATTCAATGGTCTATTGTTATTGTTATGTAAAGTGTATTAAAATTCTTTATTTTTTTCTCTTTTCTTTGGAGCAGAATTGGTGCGTTATATGAGATCGCAAGCGACGTTGTGCGAATGTAATTAATATTTAAGTTTAATTTATCTCTCCACCTCCTCTCTGTGCATCTTCTAAACCTTCGTTATTTAGTTTTGCTACTGAAATTGATAATTTGGGTGCATCTTGAGCGCTCAACAATGCCATACGCATCCGAAGAAGATCAAAACAGAGAAGAGATCTCTCTTCATACAGAAGTGCGATCACTCATTATTATTATTTTTGCTTATTATTGCGAAACAACCCTTGCGGCTGTTTTATTGATGTTCTTTTTTATATACTGATTATTATTTCTCTTTTATAAGAAAAACAAAAGGTAATATTTTCTTAATTTATGTTATTATTATTTTGTATAAATATTTATTTGTTTATTTTTCCTCCTTTTCTAAAAAGTGATCTAGATATTAATCGATTGTTTATTTTTTTAATTATTATCTATAGACATTTTTTTTTCTTTCTGTTCATGCATGTACAAAGACGTTGCCACACTTAATTATTATTTAATGTATAGAAAAGACGACGATGTACGACGAACGACTATCAATCAGCTAAGGTGTAAAGTCGAAGAAGAAAAGAAATTACCGCTCCTCCTCCTCCTCCCTAAAACCCAATATATCCTGCCTTAATTTATTTCCCTACCACCATCCAAAAACGAAAGAAAACTTATGAAAAAAATACAAAAACAAAAATCCACGTTTTAATTATTATTATTATTATTAATTCTTATTATTTTTTTTTACTTTATTTTATTATTTCTCTGCTCAGTGTTTTGTTAATGAGTCTTTCAAAATATGTAATAAAGAATCGATGTTTTATTTATGATTTTCTTTTATTTCATTTTCTTATTATTATTATTTTTCAGCCAATCTCTCATATTTCACTGCAAAAGTTTGATATATGTATGTGTGATTGAGAGTGAATTATGTTGCCACATACCATTTGACAAGTTAAAAAATAATTTCGAAAGTGTTTGAACATGATTATGTGTATGTTTCTCGAATGTTTCTGTACATGAAGATGTGATGATGATGACTTAATTATACGGGCTGTGTAGGATGAGATGAATCCCGAGAAAGAAATCGTACGGACGTTGGACGTGATTTTCGCGTTTAGATCCTGAATCTGGGTCAAAATTGATATATTTATGAAGCGTAAACCGAATTTAATAAACAAAGGTCAAGGGTCAAACAGAAATCTCTCTGCTTCAATTAGTTCTCTCTATTTTCTTCGCATTTCGGAGAAAAGGGTGGCAGTAAAAAGAGGTACGGGGAAAGGGAATAGAGACGCAAGAAATGAAAACGAAACGAACGAATACGCTACGAGCGAGTATAAAACTTAATGCATTCTGACATAATACACGTATGCGTGCGTGCGTGCGTGCCGCAACGGCCTTACGCAACGGACGAAGCCGTCGAGGAATTTCCATATTATGATTGCGCAAATCATTAAAAAATGACCAGTTTAAAACGATCGAATTTTCCAACTTGTATACTCTTGAATCGTATCTGCAGAGCGAAGGAAAAGAAAATCATCGATATTAATAATGCACTTAATAAAACGAAATTATTAATTTTGAATTTACTGTGACGTAGTTATTTGGTAGTAGTTGAGAAGAGTGTGTATATAAATGTTACGTCTGCGACGAATCTGTCCTGAAAAAAATGCCTTTTTTGAAAAGTAAGATTTTCTACTTTATATTTATAAAAATATATACATATATATAAATATTTATTTACGAAATTTAATTTTATATGAAAATTAATAAAGATATTGTTGTTTACAATAAATGTACATAATATATATATACCATTGACCATGGAAGACGTTTCGCGATTCTTCCAAGGCGTACTTTTTCGAGAAAAAACAAATAAAGAATTGTATAAAAAGTAATGAGTGCGTTGTTTTCTATTTCTTTCGTTACAGCTTAAAAAAAATGATACCGATTCGGATGACATATTTTCAGGTGAGTTTTGTAGAAAATAATCGTTGTTTTTTTTCGTCTTCAATAAATAAAGCAAGGTAAGATTAGCAAACCCACCCACTCTCACGTCTCATTCGCAGAAACTTTTATTGGAGTACAATGATGCTGGGTGGTCTACTCCATCCACCAGCATCCAGATCCGCGTTTATTCGTGGTCAATTAAAAAAGTGTATATATTCGGGAAGAAAAAGGAACGAATAAAAGCAAATTATTAATTGAGATAATTAATTAGCGATGGGCCGGAGGAGGAGATGCAAAGAGAGAGAGAGAGAAAGAGAGATCTCCGGTCGTAAATCGCCGGATTCACGTTGCATCTATAATTGTAACCGTAAAACCGTGGTGCCTCGTTAATTGGTCCGGGGAGGCCCCAAATTGGCCGACCCATAAAAATCGATCATTAGCGAAAGGAACCAGAAGCACAAGCACCGGCACTCTCCTTCTTTACTCCTCCGCTCTCTTCTCGTCTTCTCTTATTCTTGTTTTTATTCTTGTTAATGCCCGTTTCGCGGCGGAAGCACCAAATTATTGTGTGGCTCCCCCGTTCTTTTCTGCTCTCGCTATTTATAACAGCTACAAGAAGATTAAGCGACGATGATTCACAAATGGAATCGATCGCCTAAAGCAACAACAATCGGTTTCCGTCTTCATATTATGATGAAGAAGGAGGCTGCTAGATGTTAGGTGTTTGTAAATGGTAAATGTGTCCCCGCTGCAGAAGGAATAAACATTAGCGGCTTCCATACGATTCCTCAATAAACAATTCCGATATCAATCACATCTCTCCTCTTCCTAGTTCGTATAGAAAGAGTAGTGAGTTAGTAGTAGTGGAATAAAAGTATGGAGGAGGTATGCATGTGTGTGTGTATAAATGTGCGTGCGTGTCTGTGTTCGATTCCTCATAATGCGTGGTTCGCGGATACGTGGGAAGATGCGGTCGGAGATGGGCCTTCTCGGAAGAACCAAACGATTATCTCGGACATCAGATCCACATCCTATATTCTAATGTATCGAACGACGAATGCAATGGAAGAGGAAGGAGGACGACGACGACGACGATGAGGACGACGGCAGAACGATATAGGGGCAGAACAACGACATCGAGATATGTTCGACCATTAAGATGCCTCCGCGACCGGCGGAATGTCGCGGATCCGAAGAAAACATCAGCCATAAACGATTACGCGAATCCGAACACACAATCCACACTGGTTGGTGGATAATACAGAAAGGAAGAAAGAAAGAAAGAAATACGCACGCAAACGTCGTAGAAACTCGAAACGGACAAAGAAAAGATTAAGGAAACAACAATTTCACCCTATGGTGATGATGATGATGATGATAACAATAATAAACATATTTATTATGTGGAGCAATCGAAAGATTACAACAAGACCAGAAGATTGTTAAAGAGATGTAGAGAAACATGTGCGTCTTGGAATGAATGAGCGAGATAGATGTTGAAGAGCAAAAAAATTGATTGGACGCAGTACCGTATCGCGAATGTAATTACAATGATTATCATCGGTGCGCGTTTCTTTAATAATAACAACGACGACGACGACGGCTGCAGAAGACGACGAGCTCGAGGTGAAGCGGCGGAAGGATGTATGAGAGAAAGAGAGAAACCAATGAACGAAATTAAAGTGGAGGAGAAAAATGAAGAAGAAGATGTCGAAGAAAGAGCAAACAACAACAGCAGCAGCAGCAATAATAACAACAATACGAAAGGGGATCAGTGATTTACCGATGCGATAGGAAGGAAGTCCAGATGACCGGCAATCAGACGTTGAAGAGTGAGGGGAAGGGAGGTAAAAGGAAAGAGCTTAACAACGATTGCGATCGTTGTTCGTCGTTGTCGATTTGTCGAAATCATTTTTCGACTCACGTTCACGTTTCTTTCTCCCGCTTTCCATTTTCACTAATTATTACCTCTCTCGAACACCTGCAAATCCTCCTACCTTCTAAAAACCAAACCAAACCAAATGATAGTAATAATAAAACAATCAGAACCTCTCTCTCTATCTTTCTCTTACTTACTTATACGCTCATTAAAATATCACGAGCTCAAATTTGCACCAATTTACGTGACCATTCAAATCTTGATCGTTTCGTAATCAATCCGCACACTGTGCGAACATACATTTCAACGTGTAAGAGAGCAACACGTCGTCTAATTGGAGATTTCCGTTTTGAGCAAATACCCACGAGTCACTCTGTACAAATATACTCAATATACTTTTCCTATTGAACCATCTGATTATTTAATTCTGTGTAGTGAGAGATATCTTGCGGCGGCTATTCGAAAAAGTTAATTGTTTCGAAATATTCGATAATGGACTGCTTATATTTGTCTCAAAGGTGCATTCGTTCATTGGTTTATTGTGTTTGTTGGAACGTACGTAAGTTTTTGCTCACCGACGATTATTATTGATTGCGAAACGGCAATTTGAATTTCTAAAAATAGTAATTCGATAAATAGCATAATAGGAATTGCAACCTCCGAGCGAGGAACGTTCGCAATAATTGGAGCAGCCCGCTCGTTGTTAACAGTATCGCATTACGTTCGTTTGATAATATTTCAGAATAACTTATGAACGGTGCCGC